ACTAGGGTTCAGGGATTCGATCGGGTCTCGAAATAACATATAAAACATAATTAACGGGATACGTGTTAGTGAAAAGTTTTAAGTGTTCGTACGAGAAAATGTCTAGCGACATCGCGGCTCTCCTTACGGTATTGCTCGTACCCTTACTGCCACTAGCGACCTCTACGCCGGCGCGTACACGTATCCCCACGTACATACTCGCTAGCTCGTCGCTATCACTATACTAGTACAGTGTTCTCGTCGTGACTCTCGCGTGCAGTTAAGTTAGTTTTGTGTGTGTGTGTGTGTGTCTGTGTTGTGTGCGTTTTGTACACGATTATTATATCAACTATAAATATAATAAACAGAAGAAGAAAAATGGCCGATACCGCAGTCGCATCCGAAACCCCCGCCCCGGCGACGCCCGCGAAGAAACCAAAGGCGTCCGCGGCGGCCGCAGGCGGCGCCGCCGCCAAGAAGCCCAAGGCGAAGCCGACGCACCCGAAGACCTCGGAGATGGTGAACAGCGCCATCAAAGAGCTGAAGGAGCGCAGCGGATCCTCCCTGCAAGCGATCAAGAAATATATAGCCGCTCAGTACAAGGTGGACGCCGAGAAACTGGCGCCGTTCATAAGGAAGTATCTGAAGAGCGCCGTCGAATCCGGCGCCCTCATACAGACCAAAGGTAAGGGCGCATCGGGTAGTTTCAAACTGGAGTCTAAATCCTCCGCGTCCAAGAGCAAGCAGTCTGCGGCCGGCGGTAAGGCCGCCTCAGCTGCTGCGGCCGGCGGCGCCGCTTCCGGTGCTAAATCTAAGAAGGCGTCCGCCGCTTTCGGCCGGCGGCCAGGGGCGGCAAGAAGGCTGCCGCCGCTTCGCCGTCGAAGGCGAAACCGAAGGCTAACCATAAAGGACAAGAAGGGCCGCCGCGGCCAAGAAGAAGCCGGCGGCCGCCTCCGCGGCGGCCAAGAAGGCAGCCGCCGCCGCTTCCGCGTCCGCGGCGTCCTCCAAGGCGAAGGCGGGAGCCGCCTCCAAGGCGAAGAAGACCGCCAAGCCGCCGACCAAGAAACCTAAAGCCCCCAAACCGAAGAAGGCCGCCGCCGCCGCGACGCCCAGGTCGAAGCCCGCCGCCAAGAAAGCCGCCGCAGCTTCGAAGAAGTAATGTATCCTCGCATCACACACGCTTCGTAAAATCTGCTGCGTGCCATCTCTCGCGGACACAAGACACCGCGACGTCTCTACGCCGTCGGGAGCGTCGGAATGCAGTGTGCATAACAGCACGACAAAAAAGCCCTTTTCAGGGCTAACAAATATTTCTGACAGCGTTATAATATATATTTTATAATAATAAAGTTTCAAACGATGAGGACGTCACAAAAGAGCGCACCTAGCCATCGCGCGCGCACCCACAATATCCCGATTCTTTCCTTTCTTCCTTCCTTCGTCCTCCATCACACGCACACCCGGCCAGACGAACACCTGAAACACAAAGAAACGACATTTAAAGTTATAGCCATGTTTTGTTGTTTCTGTTTTTTTATTTATTTGTTTTTCTTCACAAATTAAATGATTAAAGTTAATATATACATAGGTATAGAAAAGTAAGTACCTTTAGGACTTTAAAAAATAATATATATTCAAATTATCATCTAAATCGGTTCAGCGGATATAAGCGTGAAAAGGTAACAGACGGACAGACAGCGTTATTTTCGCCTAAATTATAATATTATTGCCTAAATTATAAGATAAAAATAATTATTATATAAATATCCCGGTCAATAAGGCCCTTAAGGTTGACATATAATATACATAATTTATTATTGTATATAAATAAAAAATCTCAAATAACTTTCGGCCCCCGTAGACTCTCTCATCGTCTTGCGGACCGTGTCGTGTAAGTTCGTCCCATTCCGTACTAGCTCTCGTTCAATCGCTTACTCGCTCGCATCCCCACCTACTGTCGATGCTCGCGATGTACTATTTAAATGCGTGAACTAGCTATTTCATATCGCATACCGTGCAGAACTACGTTATACGCTGGTCGCGTGTATTATTACGCCTACAACTTTTCGAAACTACTCTCCATCCTATCATCATGTCTGGACGCGGCAAAGGTGGCAAAGTGAAGGGAAAGGCAAAGTCTCGTTCGAACCGTGCCGGACTCCAGTTCCCCGTGGGACGTATCCACAGGCTTTTGAGGAAGGGAAATTACGCCGAGCGCGTCGGTGCCGGCGCACCGGTGTACCTTGCGGCCGTCATGGAGTATCTGGCCGCCGAAGTCCTAGAGTTGGCCGGTAACGCGGCGCGAGACAACAAGAAGACCAGAATCATCCCTAGACATCTCCAGCTGGCGATACGCAACGACGAGGAGCTGAACAAGCTGCTCTCCGGCGTGACAATCGCACAGGGCGGTGTCCTGCCTAACATACAGGCGGTCCTCCTCCCCAAGAAGACAGAGAAGAAAGCCTGAGAAGCCTCTTGTGTTGTGTGACTATGGTGCGACGATAGTGTGTCTCGTGTGTAACTAGGATCGCAGCATATCATCATATCACATTCGTACGCGAATCATCGTACTACGAAAATTAAAAAGGCCCTTTTCAGGGCCACAAAATATTTCTATACATTACGAACAAAGCCAGTTTCATTAACAACTACGTCTAAATGTATTTACAATAAATGTTCTTACTAACAGTATTGAAAAACTAAAATTGGTATAATATATTATAAAACACGTTTCGATTTGGAAACGATAATATAATATATGCGTAGAAAATATTTTTTTATAATATATTATTAAAGAATTTAAAGAAAAGAAAAAAAACGAATAAGAAAAATAAGCACGAGAGATAGAGGGACACCTCACCGACGCCATCCATATTTCCATCGTATACGCATAATTCTAACTAGATAATAGATATTCTACACATACATTATTAGAAATATAATAATTCTAATAATATTTAATACATTCAATGAAAACTTACAAGAAAAAATCCAACATTTATCGCCAGAGAAGGCAAAACTTTCACACACACCACGCACACGAACTCCATTTTGAGTAACAACTAATTGGCGCCAAAAAATTGGCTTGGGTTATGGTCTTTTTTTTTTTTTCTCCCTTACAACATTAATTGACACAAGTGGCAGCACTATTCAGCCGGGTCGAATGAGTGAAACGTTATTCAGCCAAAAAAAATAATATAATAAATTAAAATTGGCGCCAAAAATTAGCTTGCGTATTTGTATATTTTCACGACACACTGTGTGTGTGTGTGTGTGTGTGTGTGTGTGTGTGTGTGTGTGTGTGTGTGTGTGTGTGTGTGTGTGTGTGTGTGTCGTGTGTGACGTGTGTGACGTGTGTGACGTGTGTTTCATGTGTGTCGTGTGTATCGTGTGTGTCGTGTGTGTCGTGTGTGTCGTGTGTTTCATGTGTGTCGTGTGTGTCGTGTGTGTCTTGTGTGTCGTGTGTTCATGTGTGTCATGTGTGACGTGTGTTTCATGTGTGTCGTGTGTGTCGTGTGTGTCGTGTGTTTCATGTGTGTCATGTGTGACGTGTGTGTCGTGTGTTTCATGTGTGACGTGTGTGTCGTGTGTGTCGTGTGTTTCATGTGTGTCGTGTGTGTGTCGTGTGTGTCGTGTGTTTCATGTGTGTCGTGTGTGTCGTGTGTTTCATGTGTGTCGTGTGTGTCATGTGTGACGTGTGTGTCGTGTGTTTCATGTGTGTCGTGTGTGTCGTGTGTTTCATGTGTGTCATGTGTGACGTGTGTGTCGTGTGTTTTCATGTGTGACGTGTGTGTCGTGTGTGTCGTGTTGTTTCATGTGTGTCGTGTGTGTGTCGTGTGTCATGTGTGTCGTGTGTGTCGTGTGTCATGTGTGTCGTGTGTGTCGTGTGTCATGTGTGTCGTGTGAGTCTGCTGGTAATGTTAAAATAATACACTTTTTTTCAATAAGATACTTTTTTTTAATGCGTTTTATATACAAATTTGAAGAGTGTGTAATGTTAAAATAACGGAAATTTTTCTTTTTTTTTTTTTTTAAATGCATATATGAAACTGTTTAAAATCTTTGTCTGTCTGTCTGTCCGTCCGTCCATCTGTCCGTTTATTCCGGCTCATCTCCTAAACTAATAATGTAAATAAAATGTTAATATATGTAAATATTATAAAAAATCTATACACATAATATAGTTGTAACTAAGCCGAATCTGTACATTAAATATTTTTCGTAAAATTTAATTAATAGATATTATTATCGATACAGAGGCTGAATATATATAAATATATATATATATATATATATATATATATTTTTTAAATTTTCGTCCATCCGTCTGTCTGTGTGTGACCCCGCATCAGGGAAAAACGACAGAAGGGATGGATTTTGATGAAATTTGGTATGGTGATATAGGTGATTGTTCGGGTCAACTTATAGGATAGAAAACATCTAATATCTGAGAAATGTATATTAACGGTGCGAGGGGTACGGGCGGCAGCACCGAACTACCGTGCCCCCCCCCCGCTCTCTCCCCCCGGCCAACTCCCGTATAAAACTCGGGGCGCTTCTATTGGTCCGAATAATAAGTACACTGGTGCGCGTTCCGGCCGTTTACGCGTCGATAATAAGAATGTATACTGCGCGCGCGACCGGTAGGCATCATCAGCATCATTTAGCATCATTCCGGACAGCGACGTCGAACTGAGCGGACGTATCCATGACCGCTCAGCCAGATATAGCTATACCAAACCGTATTGAGGTGATGCGCAAGCACATACCGACCCGCACACGAGCGACCATTGTGAGTGAAGTGACAAGTGAAGTTTATCCGGCGTTGCCTGTGAAGTGTTAGTTTACAGTGTAGTGAGCCAAGCAGCCCAGTCGTCCACTTGCAAGGACACACTTGTAGGTAGGTGGTAGTTGTTAGGCACACATCTCCGTGCACCACACGGAGACTGTAGGTAGCACCAAAGTAGGCACTCATCACCCTGCCTTGCGGCAGGGTGAAAACAAATAGGCCCCCTAGGGAAATGCAAACAGACAGAAAGGACAGAAACATGGACACGGCAACCGAATTCCTATTGGCACTCATCAAGTACCTAAAGGAATGCCACCCCGAAGCGCTAAAGGGGTTCAAAGCCCCTCAGGGACCACTTCAGGAACTACTGAACCAGCCCAATCTAAAGTCTCGGTCACGCTCGGTGACCCCAATCAAGCCCGCGCCATCAGCGCAGTCAACCCCCGCGCCATCAGCGCAGTCAACCCCCGCGCCATCAGTGCAGCCCTCCACCTCCGCTCAACCCGTGCTTACAGCACAAAAACCCCAAGCGCACTCCGCGCACCCCGCGCCCTCAGCGCAGCCCGCGCCTCCCGCGCAGTCAGCACCCTCGGTGCAATTCATTACCCCTAGTAAGCCTGCTAAGAGAGCAGCTACAAAAACGATTACTGACACGACTGACCACGACATGGAGACTCTAAGGGAAGAGTCCGACTCGACAGAGGACGGATTCATCCCTGTAGAGTCCAAGAAACGAAAGAAGAAGGCCCTTAAGGCAAACAACCCAGCCACGACCTCGACAGTAGCATCGCTCACTAAACCGAGCGAAACAAACAAACAAACTGACGATCAAACACCTAAGACGGACGACAGCGTCCCTAGGACAAAACCCCCGCCCCCAATCTTTGTCCAAGACAAAAAGTCTTGGAATAACGTCCTGACACAAATGTCAGCGAAAAACATTAAATTTAGTCACGCCAAGTCAACGGGACAAGGCATTAAAGTAAGTGTGACGAGCACACAAGACCATAGGAGCCTCACTAAGTTACTTAGGGAGCTCAACATAGGATATCACACATACGCTCTTGAAGAAGAGAAACAACTTAGGGTAGTGCTAAGGGGCCTTCCCCAAGAAATCACCGAGGCACACATCCTTGAGGACCTCAAGGCACAAGGCTTCCCGGTTCATACAGTCTACCGTATGTTCCGGCCCTACACAAAAGATCCTCTGGATCTTGTACTGGTCACACTAGACTTATCGCCGGAAGGCAAAAAGATATACAACGTTCGAGCCGTTTGTTATTTATCGGTCCGAGTGGAGGCTCCGAGGAACCGTGGTGGCCCAGGGCAATGCCACAGGTGCCAGTTATACGGCCACTCGGCCAAAAACTGCTTTGGACGCCCCCGTTGCGTCAAGTGCCTAGGGGACCACGGTACCTCGGACTGTCCGCGTAAGGAACCCGTACCGGAGGTGCCTCCTAGCTGTGTCCTGTGCAAAGAGCAGGGACATCCCGCGAACTATCGTGGGTGCCCCCGCGCCCCGCGCAGGAGACCGCTAGGGCAAGCCCCCGGTACGCGTACAACACACAGGCCAACGCCATCTGCGGCAGAAGCCAAACCCGTATACACACCGGCCCCGGCGCCGACTACGAACGCATGGGTTAACCGCGCGGCTTCGACGCCGTCGGGTAAACCCGCAGCGCCTTCAGCGCCAAAGCCTTCAGCACCCAAGACAACATCATCAGCGATGTGCAGCCTCCTGGGCGTCCCGGACGTTCAGGATTTACACAACATGATCTCGACGTTCAAGTCCTTCTGTGAGAGGATTGAAGCGATCTCAACCGCGTTCACACAATTTACACAATAACATGGCTAGTTTAGGTAGAATAAAGCCACGCTCACTCAACATATGCACATTCAATGCAAACGGTCTTATCGATCAAATTACAGAGGTGCGCGAGTTTATAGTCAAACACCAGATAGATATCCTTTTAATACAAGAAACCTTCTTAAAACCTAGCATTAGAGATCCCAAGATAGCCAATTATAGAATCATTCGAACGGACAGAACGACCGCATTAGGCGGAACGGTCATTTATTATAGAAGTTCACTACATTGCGTCCCGATAGACCCTCCTCAGCTTACAAACATCGAAGCTACCGTGTGTCAAATAGGAATGACAGGTCATCAGTCGATAGTGTTAGCCTCAGTTTATCTTTCACCTAATAAGGACATCTTAGAGAGAGACCTTCAGTCGATCATGTCCATGGGGGACTCGGTCATTCTGGCCGGGGACCTCAATTGCAAACATCCCCGCTGGAATAGTAGAATTTCAAATTGCAAAGGGGTCAGATTGAACGCCATTTTGGACGGCTCAAGAAACCCAGACATAGAAATAGTAGCGCCGATAGAGCCAACTAGGTACCCGACCAGACAGACACACGACAATCCAGACGTATTAGACTTTGCACTCCTAAAGAATATTACCCTTCAGGTACGTTCATTAGAAGTGCTAGCAGAGCTTAGTTCGGACCACCGTCCTGTCCTACTCCAGCTAGGACACGACGTAGAAGATAGATCGATCAAACGTACAATCACAGATTGGAAAAGACTTAGGGATAGATTCCAGACAATAGATACGGCCAAATTAAATATCACAACGGACACGATAACTTCGGTAACGGCGGCCAAAGAGGCGAATACCAAAGTTTTAGAAATCATCAAAAATACAGTAGGTGAATGCTCCAGGGAATGCTCGGTGCCCTTCGAGGGGCGCTGGCCCCTCCCTGAAGCAGGTAGGATATTAATCAATAGGAAAAACGCAGCAACTAGGGCATACCACACATACCCGACAGACGCTAATCGAAGGAGGTTATGGAAATTGCAGAGGACGGTCAGGCACCGCCTGGCCGACCTCCGCAATAACCAGTGGGACAAACGTCTCTCGGAGCTCTCGCCATCGCACCTGGCATACTGGTCACTGTCGAGAGCTCTCAGGAACGAGGGTACATCCACATTGCCTCCCTTGGTCAAGCAAGACAATACCTTAGCTTTAGAGGACACCGATAAGGCCGAGTGCATGGCAGACACATACGAAACACAGTTCTCACCAAACACACACCTCATAGACACTGAGCACCTCCTAAAGGTCAACTCAGACATAGAGAGTAGGGTAAACACACCACCTACAGACTCACCACTAGCACCTACCTCAGTAGAAGAGGTAAACACAATAGTAAAGAACCTACACGCCAAAAAGGCCCCAGGATTAGACAAAATTTCAAATAAAGTAATCAAATTCCTACCGAACCAGATTATATATCTATTAGTAATCATATTCAATGCCCTTCTGGCAGGCTCCTCGTTCCCGGACGAATGGAAGGAAGCAATAGTAATAGGTATACACAAACCGGGAAAAGCCCGTAATCTCCCAGCTAGCTACAGACCGATTTCACTACTCAACTGCATTAGTAAGATTTATGAAAGAATCATACTAGTCAGACTTAAGGCCGTAGTAGAGGCCAAATCACTCATCATACCGGAACAATTCGGCTTTAGAGCACAACACTCAAGCGTACACCAGGTGCACCGCTTAACGGAGCACATACACACACAATTCAACAAACTCAAACGACCGATAGGCACGGGGGTCCTCTTCTTTGACGTAGCGAAGGCGTTCGACAGAGTCTGGCACAATGGCTTATTATACAAGCTATACCAAATGAGCGTGCCAGACAGTCTCGTGCACATCATACGAGACTACCTGTCGAATCGTTCCTTTCGCGTCAAAGTAGAGGGCATCCTCTCTACACAACGCCCCATAAGGGCAGGAGTCCCTCAGGGATCCGTACTAGGACCGATACTCTACACATTGTACACAAGTGACATTCCGAGGCACGGGAATACGGACCTCGCCCTCTTCGCAGACGACACGGCCATTTACACCTCATCTATGAATGTCAACACAATAGTAGACCGCCTTCAGAAGGCGGTAACAGAACTGGGGCTCTGGTTCCGGAAATGGGGCATCGAGATAAACCCCGATAAAAGTGCGGCCGTGTTCTTTTATCGGACCGTTCTCGGGCCACATAGTCGGCGCAGACCCCAAACACCGATCACACTATACAATCAACCGATACCTTGGCGTCAGCACGCCAAATACCTAGGAGTCACGTTAGACAGTAGGCTAACATTCAGACAACACATACAGATAGTTAGAAACAGAGCAGCATTCATACTAGGCAGACTCTACCCAATGTTAGGTAAACACAGTAAGCTGTCCCTTAGGAATAAGGTAACACTTTACAAACTTTGCATACGCCCGATCATGACATACGCGTCCATAGTGTTCGCACAGACAACAAAATCACACTTAGACAAACTACAAAAATTACAAAACAGATTTACACGCATTGCCACAGGCAGTCCTTGGTACATGCGAACAGTAGATTTACACAAAGACCTAGAGCTAGAGTCCATTAGGGACTACATGAAAACAGCATCGACTAGGTACTTCTTAAAAGTACCTCAACATCCGAATCGCTTAATAGTCGAAGCCGCTAATTACGACCCAGTAGACGACATCACAGTTAGGAACAGACGACCGAAGGACGTACTGACCGACCCAGACGATAGAATCACAGCGTCCAATTCCATCTATAGGATCACACACAGACAAAACACACACACTCACCGTCCTCGCCGGCGAGGACGAGGTCCCTTGTTTGTCACGGCCCGATCACGCTTAGGCGTGTGAGGGTCGTATAACTCCTTCAGAGTATTCTAAGCCGTCTCCTATACGGCAAGACCTCCGACCGACAGTTTCGTAAGCCGTGGTCCGAACCTCGCAGGAGGTGCCCTTACGGAACTAATTACTAGGTAGGACCTTCTGTCCACCTCAAAAACCCGGTGACGCTGTCAAGGCCAGTAGGGCCAACAGCACTATACATTCCGAAAAAAAAAAAAAAAAAAAAAAAAAAATAGGCATCATTTCAGTTCGCACCCTCGAACCGAACGTACGTACTCATCGACAATGCCACCCAAGACTAGCGGAAAGGCGGCGAAGAAGTCGGGCAAGGCCCAAAAGAACATCTCCAAGTCCGATAAGAAAAAGAAGAAGCACAAGAGGAAGGAGAGCTACGCCATCTACATCTACAAAGTGCTCAAGCAGGTCCATCCGGACACCGGTATCTCCAGTAAGGCGATGTCGATCATGAACTCTTTCGTGAACGACATCTTCGAGCGCATCGCCGCCGAGGCGTCTCGCCTGGCCCACTACAACAAGAGGTCCACGATCACGTCCAGGGAGGTGCAGACCTCCGTGAGGCTCCTGCTCCCCGGTGAGTTGGCGAAGCACGCGGTCAGCGAAGGCACCAAAGCGGTCACCAAATACACCAGCTCGAAGTAAATGGTCGTGTCGTCGTCATTGTACGTGCGCGCATCATTTCTTTACAAAAAGGCCCTTTTCAGGGCCACAAAACAATTCATATTTTGTACAGTTTCACGAACACGTCTCTCCCTCTCCTGACTCATCATAAATGGGCATATAATATATTATTCTTTTTGTTCGTTATGAATTGATTATGACGATGATAATAATAATGATATTCCAAAAACATTGATCGTTTACATGTTGACGTGAATCAATGATAAACAATATTATTAGAGGGATTTTAGGAATAATCATTATCGTTAGGTAATTACTTAAAATGCCGCGCGCGCGCACGCACTAGCCCCTAATGACCCAAACATAATATTATTATCATTCCCTCCACGAAAATATATATGATTTAAAGTACCTACAATAAATAGCAGATGATAAAATGTCGAAAGTAAATATAATACACCAAAAATTAGCAATCAAACACAAACTCATCCCAGAGACACATACACACTATATACTTATACAAATACACACCAAATTCCGTTCTCGAAAATACAAATTACAGACCGTGCTATACTGACAGACAAAAAGAAAACCATCCATTACAATAGACCGGATGTTACGCTCCAAGATAAAGTAAATAATATAGTGTATACATATTATAGATATAGCCGTACCTAATAATCACAATTTCATTAAAACACGACGACACAACCGAAAAATTCCACACATATCACCAAACTCATACATACATTAAGTAATATACAAAAACCGGCAATCAATCAATTTTAAATACATGCATGCATACATCGTTCGAAAATTCACGCACAGGCGGCAGACACTGATCTGTATCTTATCACACACACCGAGCCCGCCCGCGCCCGACTGCCCGACTCCGATTTTTATTTTATTATTATTATTTTTTTCTCTCTTTTCCTAAAGAAATCTCTCCTAAATAATTAACTTACTGTATAATTATTATTTCTACAACATACAATCATACATACATACATACATATCCGCACGTATTCGTTCGTTCGTTCGTTCGTTCGTAACATTTCGGTATTCTCGCGCCCTAGAACGAGACGGAGATATATATAGAGCTCTATAAAGAGGCGATCTCTGCATGTTTTATAAGTATTCGTACCCCGACCGTCGTGACGAGCGTGTAGTGCGTACCGTACGTAACTGATAACCGATTTCAAACTATTCGTGTAGTGTCAGCGAGTGAGAGATGGCCCGTACAAAGCAGACTGCCCGTAAATCTACCGGTGGCAA